GAAACTCATTAGATATAATAATCAATATTTTGATCTTGAGACTTTTCTGTTACTGACCCTCCTCCTTGTACCTATAAATATACACTAGTATCAAATGTCCAGGTATCTGGTGAAATACTTTCACCAATGTAAATAGTTTCCTGGAATGGTGTGGGAATATGTATTTCTAAATAAAAGTATTTCATAATGACCTATACACACCAACGAAAGCAATTAATTAACATCTTAAGAAATTAGATGCTTATAATAGTAGTAATAATATTACTAGTAGGGGTAGAGAAGGTGCTAGTAGCATTATTAGTATTAGTACTGACACATTAGAGAGTTATGTATGCAGACGATAGCAGGCTTACAAAGCATCAAAAGGATTAAAAACGCTAATGACGACCAGTAGTAATAATATTACTAGTAGGGGTAGAGAAGGTACTAGTAGCATTATTAGTATTAGTAATACATGACACATTACAGAGTCATGTATGCAGACGATAGCAGGCTTACAAAGCATCAAAAGGATTAAAAACGCTAATGACGACCAGGAAAGTTCTATACAAGTTTGGTGCAGCACTTTCAAGGACCACTTCTTCCTATACAAGCCTGTCCAGGATCTGAAATCTCTGAGGATCAATTTCCTCTCATTCCTACCCCTCAGAGACACATTAACTGATGACACAAGAGAAGGTGTCTCCCAGGCAGATGAGGAGCAACTGACCAGTCATTGGGGAAAGATTTGCTTTAACCATTTGGGTGCTACCATTTTCTTAGGGAAATCTCAGTACTTAGAAACAGTACATTTGGGTGTATAGCATTCCTCGAATCCCACACGGTGTCATGGCATTCTGACCTGGGGATTCTGGACGTCATTCAAAAAAGTTATTTTTCCAATCTCTGGGACATGTTTTAAGTTGATGGTTTAATGTATTTAATTCTTTCTTTATTTTAAAAATGGGCTATCTATATTTTCCTTAATCTTTTATCTTGTTTTGTGTTGAATTGCATTAGACTTTTATTTGAAGTTATTATTTGCCTCCTTTGATTCCTGTCTTTGGGAGAAAAGCAGGATATGAACCCAGTAGATAAGCAGCTGAACAAGCGCAGAATGCTTTTAGAGAGAACAGACAGTAACGGATCTGCAGTCCTATGGGCTCTTGCAATCAATGGGACTCCTTTCTGATTAAACCTGCATACAACATTCCCTCTAATTTTCTGCTTACATGGGGGGGGGGGCTCCACCCCACATGCATGGAATTCCGGCTGTGACTGGAAGCAAATGGGAAGCAACTCTGGCTTGGCTGTGGAGCCCCAGTTCAGCACTGTGTGGCATGTTGCATGCATGGGACGATATGACAAATGTTTCATGCACTGAACTCTTGTTTCAGTTGAGGTGAAAGACAAAGGAATGATTTGTTCTAAAAAGAAAAAAACAGATAGTTACAGTATTTGTCTGTACGCATGCATGGGTTCTTTATTTGGGCCATATTTGATTCTTCCTGTTTTCAGATAAATTCTGCCTTGTTTGATGTGATACGCTCTTGTATTAGATAAAGAAGAGCATGCATGTGGGCAGTCGTTTTCATTTCTGAGTGAGAACACAATATAATGATAAGAATGGTGAAGTACAATTTCAGCCCACATGCTATACACACACTTCTGTTTGGAATAAACATTCAGCAAGTGATATTTAAGATACTCAAATTTAAAGCCTTTCTAGAAAATTCTGATTATCAGCTTCTATCAATTGTTGCTTGTGATCAGCAAATGCCTTTTGAATCACCCTGTGTTATTTCAGATTGGATCACTTGAGAATCATTATCTGTTCAGACATAAGAGCCATCCTAGAAGGTATCGAAGAAGTGCTACTCACTTGACTAAAAGGCTCTCTGATGATCATCGAGTAAGTATTGCCTTTATTGTTCCAAGTCGGCTGCAATCCCAAACACACAAGAAATTTGGCCTATTAGACACATAGGGCTTTCCTTCTGAGCAAACACAGATGGGATTTTTCTGCCTGCCAATAAGAAAGAATGGCCAGTCCAAATGTCAGAAGCCAGCATGGTCCAATCTTCCAACAAATGACATGTTCATGTTTCAGGGAGAAAGTTTCTAGCTTGTCCTTTCCTTCCTTAGACATAATTTGTAACTGTGTGACGTCAAGTTGATTCTAACTTATGGCAACCCATTCTAGCGTTTTCTACGACTACACAAAAGTGGTTTATCATTCCCTTCTTCTGGGGGCTAGCCTGGGACTATGCAGCTTGCTCAAAACCACACAAGCTGGTTCTCTTGCCAGGAGATACTGTTGGGGAACCAGACTCCCAACCTCTGGCTCCATAGCCAGATACTAAACCACTAAACTATCCAGCCAAGGTTGGGAAAAGTTAATAGGTGTGTGGATAAAATCCTCTTAAGGAAACATGGAGTGTAATGCTCTAGAGGCATAGCACACAATGCTGTTGTGTGAGCCAGAGACCACCCCATTGAAAACAATGGTGTTTCCATGTATGCAAAGGAATGGTGAATGCCTATCTTCTTGTGCAAATGCTGGGAAAGAACAACTAAGGATTGTGCACAGAGTAAAAACAAAGAACATTCTGCCCTTGGACTACAACTCCCAGAGTCCCTGAGCCAACATATCCATTTGCTAAGAGCTTCAGGAGGAAAGTAACTTCTCCAAGCTCTGGTTAGATTTATATCCCATGGTCCTCTGTCCTCATTTGTATCCTGAGAGATGGCGCAAAGGCGAGGGTCAACCAGGGAACTTCATGGCTGGGTATGGATTTGAACTGGGATCTCCCTGGTCCTGGTCCACCCCATTATATCATATTGATACTATGGCCAGAACCTTGTATTTAGACTGGCATAAATCCAGGTCTATAAATCTCAGCACAAATTGCAGCTGGTTAAGACGGTGCTTGTATTTCTTGCCGCATACCAGTCACAAACTCACATGACTTGATGTGTGACAAAAAAAAGAGACAAACTTCCATTTCTTAATCAGTGGATGTTCACTTCTAAAATGTACACCATTGGATTTATGCTGGTATACATAAGTAAAATAAGGATTCTGGCCACTGTGTTTAAAAAGTGCATTATATGCAAATACTCTGTTCTAGAGTTTGCTTTTAAATAGATGATCACAAGGGACAGCTCATCGTTCAAGACAGAGGGTACACCATGAAACTTTCAGGGGGATCATCCTCTGCCTTAGTCACAAACTGCCTTTGTCCATTATCCCCCCAGTATGGAACCTGAAGTAGCACAATTATGAAGGAGCTCAATATCACCTTGGTTCCTTTGTTTATTTGTCAGTGTCTTGGCTATATAGTAAAAACTGAATAAAATCTTGTTGGGTTTTTCTCCTATGTAAAACTTCAGCTTAAAAAATGTGTCTTATTTAATATTTTGTCTGAAATAAGAAGATTGTAGCAGATCAGATACCTTATAAAACCCATTTATGTTGTGGCATATATTTAGAGAGATGCTTGGTTATTTTTTAAAATGATGCAAGTGACATTTAGACAATTTCTTCCATTTGCATTGATGTTGCATTTATTATTCAAATTAGTGCTTGACAGAATGAGCTGTAATTTGGAAATTTAGAAGCTGACAAATATTTCTCTAATCCCCTGCACTTGTACTAGAACCTCCATTTCCCACATCTACGTAAGGTCAAGAGCAGCCTACTACAAATGAGTCAGCTGGGGGTAAAAATAAGAATATGCAGAGGGAAAAAGAAAACCCATCTCTGCTCTTTAGTCTCCTAGGTGAATCCCCATTGATTTAAGAGAATGGCCTCTATCCTCTTGGGTTTTCCCATGCACCGAGCTGGAATCACAGAAGCATCCATGATTATTTGGTGAGAAGCCGTGCATGGCAGTCGCTCTGTGCACAGTAAAGCCCAAGAGGATGCTTCATCAACATTACTGAAAATAATTTCAGAATTAATGTAGACATCTTGCAACAAAAATAAGCAAAAGGGTATCTGCACCTCACAGATACAGCCGTTCAATACCAGTTTAACTGCCTTGGCTTCCTCCTGCTAAACTACTGAGATCTGTTGTTTGTGGCAGTGCCTGGCAGTCTTTGCTAAAGAGCTGTGGTAATATAATTTGGGGAGGTGTGCTAATGCTGACAGCTCTTTATCCAAAAATGTCATTTTATCAACACTTCTGCACTAATTCAGGAATCTATGGGTACAGGAAATTTATTTCCACCAGTACAAATAACTAGTTTCTCATCTGCTTATAATCACAAAGGAGTAAGTTGCTTCATGTCTAGTGCTTACTTTATTGATCCAAAGAATTTTGCGGACCTCCTCCTCTTCTGTTTCAGCAAAAAATTAACCAGCTGAGTTTCCTTGCAGGGTGCTTAATTTCATGCCCTGACATAAGGGTCAGTCAATGTTCTGTTTTCACACAGTATCCTCAGTCCTTACCAGATGGTTTTGGAACTTCCTTCTCATCACTTTGTGCCAGTGGTTGCCAAACGTGAGTCCCCAGATGTGTCTGGACAAAAACTCCCAGAAGCCTTCACCACCAGGCTAGGATTTCTGGGAACTGTAGTTCAAGAACATCTGGGGACCTAAGGTTAGGAACAATAGGCTAATGCTTCCTCTGGAGTAGTGGTTCTTAACCTTTGTTACTCAGGTGTTTTTGAACTGCAACTCCCAGAAACCCCAGCCAGCACAGCTGGTGGTGAAGGCTTCTGGGAGTTGCAGTCCAAAAACACCTGAGTAAACCAAGGTTAAGAACAGTGCTCTAGAGTTTTGTTTTATTCGACATTCCCTAAACTTGCTGATCCTGTCATACCATCCTAAACACACCTGGTCTCTTCTGATTTCAGATACTAAGCAGCTACAGGCCTGGTTTAAACTTGGATGGGGATAGTAGGCCTCTCATGGTAGGACTAGGAAAGTATCCTTGAAACCCTGGAGAGCTACAGCCACTCAGAGTTGCTGATATGGGGCTAAAGAGACTGTTGCTTTGACTTCTGTGAAATAACATTTCCTACAGTATATACTTACAGTATATGCCCCTCTTGTATATGGATGATGAATTTAGCTAAACCAAGACCTATGCTTTGACTATGAATCTGTTAACAGTCTATACAATGTCATCTACAGTATATGTCTACTGCTACAAATTGTAGCATCCAGTAGTCCAATCTCCTTCCAGCAAATGTTAACACACTTATTGACAATATCACAATCATGTTGAAATTTCTACACTGTGGGCTGCTCATGGAAAAGCCTGACACTTTTATTTTAAAAATGCTGTAATAGTCAATATTACTAAGTGGTTGATGAGGGAATGTAGAAATAATATGGAAATCAAGAAATGATTTTAGCTGCCATCTGAACATGCATGTTAGGAAGAAACACCCACCAAACACATAAGTCAAACATATACAAGACTGCGCTATTAGTTCAGTTATTGCTGCTGTTTGAAATCAACAGAAACATTTACCCAAAGGATTGGTAGGAATTGTTATGATAAGATATTAATTCGTTGCCCATGTGCTATGCTTCTGTGAAAATTACACCCATATCTGCTATTCACCCTAGAAGAGAAGATGTTCCTCATGTTCTAAAGTCCTGGTCTAGACATCCCCTTCAGTGCAAAAAAAGTGGAAAAAGAAGACACACTGAAAGCATTCACACATTGTTATGAATGGTCTTTGAAGGGCTTTGCCCTAAAAGATGGGGATATAAATTTTGGTTCATAATAAATAAGCCATCAGTCAAGTTTTACTCTAGGATAATTGCAGCTACACCAGAGGACCTATCTTCCAGGAAGGCCTGGAGAGTCTCACTTATCCTTTTCTTAACATTAACAACTGAATGTTGGGTGATTATAACTTGATTTATAAGAATTATTTCAATTATTTAATATCCTAAAGTAAATAATAACCCTACACCAAGACAAAATAACATAACCCTGACAACATAATGGGAATGCTCTTCCACTAAGCAGGACATCTCAAATATTCCCACAGTCAATAGTGTATTTATTATATTACTAGTTAGGACCCAATAATAGCAATTTTCACAATGTGAATAGTTTGCAATCAAATGCAATGATGGCACCACATGGAGGAACATATGGACTGTGAATAATAATGCTGCTTGCTGCTGTTATAGTGTACTATCATTATAGTGCACAGTTCCCAAACTCATGACTATAATTGCTTTTTTTAGTTCAAGCAAATAAGGTGTTGTTCAAGAACTGAAGGAAACAGTTGTAAAATGTGTGTATCTATGAATGAGCCATTTCTTTGACAAGAGTTTGACTAATTAACAGAGCTTGGAAAAAGACTACAACTCCCAGAATCCCTCAGCCAGTATAGCCAGTGGCCTTGTAATGCTGCCTGGGGAATATGTATTTGTAGTCTCTAACAGTAACAGCAATAAAAGGGCAGGCTGATAAGAAGTAATGTGTATCTCAAACAATGTCAAGACAATCACTTCTATCATCCCTACTATGTTACTGGTGGATGAACATTGTGATTGATAACATCTGGAGGGGGACCACACTGGGGAAGAGTGTTCCAACTTTAAGCAGTTGCTTTCCACAAATAACTTCTGTAGGGAAAGGAGGCAACAGGACCAGGCAGTTGGCCTCACCCTGGTACTTTGGCATGACTTTCTAAGGAGGGGGTCAGGACCACGTATGACCTTGCAAAGTGGCAGCATTGCTATTCTCTGTCCCCTTTTCCATGTGTATGAATGATTGATGGAGAACAGCAGGCTGTGAGGCTCATCCAGGAGTGCTTCATGATTGAACAGGAGATGTCTCACCCAAAATTTGGGTGTGTGTGTGTCCCCTGGCTCTGATCAAGGGCTGTTTCAGATACAACCTATCTCACAGAAAAGTTGTACAGCTGATAATGGTGTTTCGAGCTGTTTAGGGAAGAGATGATGTAACAAACACAATAAATAATGTTTAGTCTGCGAGAATTAAAAGCAGGAAACCCTGGCGTCTTTATATACTTATGCTGTTGTTAAAAATGTTTCAGGTCTCTTGGGCAGAACAACAGTATGAAAAGAAACGAAGTAAACGTTCAATAATCAGAGATTCAGCCGAAAATCTTTTCAATGACCCCATGTGGAATCAGCAGTGGTATCTGGTAAGAGTTCGCATTTCTGAGTAGATTATGTTCAAGTGTTATTTCCAAAGTGGTCTACCACCTATAACCACACGTAGTTCATAAAACTCTTAATTCATAGATCCCAGGAATTACAGGCCTTTTGAAAAAAAGCATTGTTTTGTTTTGTTTTAAGATGGAAATAGTTCCATGGGTGCTGGGTTTCTTATGGTTTAGCATTGTGGGCTAAACCGCAGAAACCTGTGCTGCAGAGTCAGAAGACCAGCAGTTGTAAGATCAAATCCATGAGATGGAGTGAGCTCCTGTCGCTTTGTCCCAGCTCCTCGCCAACCTAACAGTTTGAAAGCATATAAATGCGAGTAGATAAATAGGTACCACCTTGTGGGAAAGTAAAACAGCGATCTCTAGTCATGCTGGCCACATGGCAAAGGAAACTGTATTTGGACAAGCGCTGGCTCTACGGCTTGAAAACGGGATGAGCACCGCCCCCTAGAGTTGGACATGACAGGACTAAAAATGTCAAGGGGAACCTTTACCTTTAGGAAAGCAAGGTTGGGGGATCTTGGGCCCTCTGGAGATCTATGTCTGTGAGTCTCACCATGGGAAAAAGATTACTTTATAATTATTGCACGACTGCTGTCTTTTATTTTTCTTAGCAAGATACAAGAATGACTCCGTCTCTGCCCAAATTGGACCTGCATGTGCTCCCAGTGTGGCAGAAGGGGATTACTGGGAAAGGGGTTGTCCTCACCGTGCTTGATGATGGCTTGGAGTGGAATCATACAGACATTTACCCCAACTATGTGAGTTCAATATTTCAGCAGCAATCAATCAGTTGTCATTTCCCATAACAGTGGATAGAATTATTGGTGCTTAAATATCAGAATACTCAGTTCTGATCCTCGTTCAGCAGTCAGGCTCAATGGGTGTCATCGAAGTGGGGATCTGACAGGCTAGCCTCACAACTCAGCTGTTGTGAGAATAAAAACAAGACAACCCCCAAAAGTCCTCAGGTAGATTTTTAAAAATACAGAGCAATAAAACATGACATGTTTTATGCATTTCATGAAAACAGATCAGTGTTAGGGGGAAAAATCCAGATTGCTTACAATATTTATATTAAAAACATATTACAATTTATATAATTACAGTATATCACAGAAGTGAGTACATCCCCTCATATTTCATAAATATTTTAGTATATCTTTTCATGTGACAACACTAAAGAAATGACACCAGGGAGGTTACTCCTGGCTACTTGGGTCCAATTTGGACATTGTCACTTAGGGGTGAACTCACTTTTGTTGCTAGAGGTTTAGACATTAATGGCTGTGTGTTGCGTTATTTTGAGGGAACAGTTCATTTACACTGTTATACAAGCTGTATACTCACTGCTTTACATTGTAGCCAAGTGTCATTTCTTCAGTGTTGTCACATGAAAAGATATATTGATATATTTATGAAATTTAAGAGGGTACACTCACTTCTGTGAGTTGGATGAGATGGACAGTGTCACCGAAGCTACCAACATGAATTTCACCAAACTCCGGGAGGCAGTGGAAGACAGGAGGGCCTGGGGTGCTCTGGTCCATGGGATCATGAAGAGTCAGACACAACTTAATGACTAAACAACAACTCACGTCTGTGATATACTGCATTTTAACAGAAGACTCCGTTATTGATAGCTACTATTCATTGCAGCGAAGTATCGCCTATAATGTGTGTTGCTTATATACTGCCCTTTAATGCTAGAGCATTCTCTTGGTTATTTACAACATAATTGTGCAAGGAACACTTTCAGTGAGCTGGACATTCATTTTATGAACTTCAGAAGTATGGAAGTCTGAGTCAACCTTGAGCTGGCTACCTGAGACTGTCAAGATCAAACTCAAGTCATGAGCAGATTCTCGACAGCAGTACTGCAGTTTAACCACCACGCCATAAGGCTCCTATAAGAGACAGTATGTTTTTGAACAACAATTCTATTAATATCTTCCTCATGGGGTTCCCATTGATATTTGATTGGCTATTTTGGGTACAGAATGTTGATGGAGAAGACAGTATTCTGTTCTGATCTGGAAGGGCTCTTATATTCATGTGTCTGTTGCCTCAACAGTTTGACTGTGGGTTTCGGAAGAGGCCTCTCTGTATCTTCATTTCATCTCTTCTTTTGTTTGTTTCCACTTAGGATCCTGAGGCAAGTTATGATTTCAATGACAACGATCATGATCCATTTCCCAGATATGACCCAACAAATGAAAACAAGTAAGTGACCTCTTGCTGTTATTAAGGTATATGACAACTGTTTCTAGAAATAAGCCCTCAAAGGGCTTAGTGGTGTTAGTGACACTCATCACAGCCATATTCATTTGTTATAACAGTGTGTTGGTCTTCTCCACACAAGATGGAGGGAGAGTGATAGCCCCATTCTGCTCGTCATTGCTTTAATCACAGTACAAGCAACTGTCTGAAGAGCAAGAAGCTCTACATGTGTAGATCAGGGTTTCCCAAACTATTTCCAGTCTATAACACCCAAGTAACCTGTGACCCCGCACCATACTTGCAAAAAAGCCCCAAAAAGAGGCATTTTAAATGGAACAAACTATTGTGAGAAGACAAACTTCCCTGGAAAACACAACAATACCAGAAGAGCAATGCAGAACTTGAGACAGATTGATTCAATACAGACGCCACAGTCTTTATTTTACAAGACTGCAGCAGGGATTTTTCTACAGCAGTGAGGTTTTTGGGGGTGAGGGAGGGAGCATTAATTCATAGCCCCCCTCCAAAGCAGGAGCAATTTGACAGCACATAACACCACCACCAAATATCTACTGCCTGATGGGAGGGTCCTCTCCCCTCTGCTTGGCTGGGCTTGCAATTTCCCTCCCACCTGCTCCCATTTTGCTCCCCCCCCCAGCTTTTTCTAGCCTCGCTTCCCAGCCCTGCTTGGGATAGATTCACCAACAAGAACCCCAAGCAAATCTGGGTAGGGCATACCAGATCGTGGGTGTTGCAACCCACAGATTGTGAACCTGGAGTGCAGGCTCTTCATGTTCAATGAAACAAAAAGATATGGGCTCCTAGTTTATACTTCTTCAAATAGCCACTTTCACATGTCTACAGTAATGATAGAAAGGTGAGGTTTGCAGAGTCCCATCACTGTGTGTGGAGTGCATCAGTTTTTGTAGCATCTAAATAGGCTTATATCTTGCTGTCTAAACAGACCAGAGGGATAAGAAGGGGCTATATTAACCCAGGCTATGAGGTTTTCAACCACATAAAGGTGTTCTTCTGGGCACTATTCTTCACCAACAAATTACTGAGAAAAGCAGCAAGTTCACACCACAATATGAATGTTAACAACATGTCATGCAGAGGGTCCCTTATCAGATCTTCTGTTTATTTTTAGAAAATGAAAGTTGCAGCCATGTCATGAGGTCTGAGGAATTTACAGAACTTATGCAAGTTTTTGGAAGTACCCCTGCTCTCTGTGTGTAGAACATGGTGGTTGTCAGACAGAGGCTGATCTGTGTTGAGATAAAAAGGGATGGGCTAGTGGTTTTCCATACCCTTCTAACTCTGTGGCCCAAACCCTGTTGCTTCGTTATCCCTGTAGAAGGCAAACAGCATGACTTGCTCTGTGCTCTCACAGGCAACTAATGACTCCCCGCTTGGATTTTCTGGCTTGAATGTGTACCTGGAAATCCAGCGGATTAGCTAACTGCCCACAAGAACACACAATCAGTAGCGCTGTTTGCCTTCTGCAGGGATAAATAAGCAACAGGATTTGGGTTTACAATTCTGACTTTGTCAAATAATTTCAGAGCATCAGCATATCCTGTTTTCCACCAAGTGCTGTACTGAATTCAGTTTGGCATGGTATTAAGATTTTTTGATTAAAAGAATCTCTGAACTGTACTGAGCCAATTATCTGTTACAGATACATTGGGACTAGATCAGGGAATTCCTTAGAGGTTGATTGTCTGTGATTGTCATAGCAGAAGCGTTTCTTGCCTCCTATAATTTACAAACATAATGCAATTTCAGTTTTAATGAGGGCTCATCTTTAATGTATAATTTGGCCCTCAAAGAGCAGTTATTCCTACCATTTGCTGGAAAGAGTAAATGACTTTTAAATCATTAATGTCTACAATTCTATGCACAGTTACTGAGGAGAAGAGATTGGAAAGTAACTTGCAAGAAGAATGAGTGTAATGATGGAGTGTCATGCTATGATTGATCAGTTATGGATGGCTTCAACATGTCCATATATTATTCTTCCTAAAAGTTCTGCCTGAAAGTAAACTTTCTAAAGACAATGGTTGAATTCCAATTGTTTAGTGTAGTGCTGTTCCTAGAGTAGGCCCATTGGATCAATGGCACTTACAAATGAGTTTACTCACCAAATAATGCCTATTGATTCAACTATCCTACTCTGCCTGTGGCTTCCTATGCTAAGCAAAAGGATTTCAGCCAGTAAGAATTTACTTCTGAGAGCCAAACTATATCTTACAGATAGCCTGTAGTTAGAAGAGGTAATTCTTTAAGTGCTGGAAAACATTTGATTGTCACAGCAGGGTTGGACACCTCCCATAATTTAGTTCACTTTGTTTAGTGCTTGACTATCAGGAAGTAACTGCAAGCTTCTCCTCCACTTTTTCTTTTCTTTTCTAGCAAAGGATAGGCATATAAAAATACAGCATGGAATAATGCTGTAAATATTATACATGCCCTTTCTATCTTCCTTTGTAGAGCAACATGACAACAATGCATTGAATCTACTTTTCTTGAAAATAATGAAATGAATTATGTGCCATCAAGACCATTTTGACTTATAGTGACCCTTCCCAGTGTTTTCTAGGTATAGAGTACTCCGAAGTAGGAACATCTACTCCCACCAAGCTCTACCTGTGTCACTCGTGCGAGCCAGGAGGTGAGGCTGAGGAGCTTGATGCCGAGGGAGGCTCGGAAGGAAAAAACCAGAAACTGGGCCTTCTCGGTGGTGGCTCCTTGCCTCTGGAACAATCTGCCTCCAGAGATTCGCGCGGCCCCCTCACTGGGTATTTTTAAAAACCAACTAAAAACATGGATGTTCAGGCAGGCCTTCCCCTCCAGTTAAGATCTGATTTTTTTTCCCTTTTTTCTTTTGTGGTTTTTCTTTCTTTCTTTTTCTTTCCCATCTTGAAGCATTGTATATTTAATGTAATAACTCTTCTTTTTATTATTTTTTGTTATATTACGTGTCTGTAAGCCACCTAGAGTGGTCGCAACGACAAGATAGGCGGCAAAAAAATAAATAAATAAATATAAATAAATAAATAAATAAATAAATAAATAAATAAATAAATAGCCCAGTCCCTTCTTCTGGTGGTGCTCTGAGACTGTGCAGTCTTGGGCACCACCAGAGCCTTGCTCAAGGCTCTACATAATAATTCCTCTCCCAGGAAATATGGTGGCAAATATCTTACCCCTTTGACATCCTCAAGGGTCCATAAACTGAACTGATTATTGATTTTGATTTGCTGTCCAGGTTTCCTTCTGTTTTGGACATCCTGGTTTTTTTTCCCCCTCTTTATTTATGTCCTTTTTGGAGGTTTGTTTTGCTGTGTTTTAACTGTTGTTAGCCACCCAAAGTAGTGGGTGGCTAACACCCACTAGATGATCGGGATAGAAATGTAAGAAACAAACAAACAAAATCAAACTCCCAACCTCTGGCTCTTTAACCAAATACTCACTGAACTAAGGAGGTGACTAATTGTCTCTCTGGAACCCATCCACTCAAGCAAGTACAACTTGCCCAATGATATTCTTGTAGGCTGAGGTTTCAGCGCCTTGAGAAAGCCAGTAAAAGGAAAAGAGAAGGAGCTATTTTCAAAAGTGGACTCCGGAACAATTGGCTGTTCCAAGCAAATTCGGGTGTCACTATCCTTAATGACAAAATAAGAGATTTACACTAGGGTTCAATACCACCTGTCAGGCAAAATGATATTTAATTCACTATGTGGATGCTGTTCCAGCAAAAATCATATCATCAGAGTGCAAGTTTTTCAAAGGATAAATGTTACCAGGCTTTTGAAAATACATCGCTCTGTTAGCTGCAGTAGTTATCAGCAATGAGAGACTATTATCCTCTGATTCAAATGGCATTCGTTCTGAACTCTACTATCTTGGCAATAACATCTATTCTTTATTAATATGTAAATAGAATTCATACTGGCAGCATTCAGCAGCTCCATTCCATACAAAGCTTTAAAAGGCAGCTTTCCACAAGGGAAGCATATTTTTTAATGCAGTAAAGGTAAGAGATCATAGAACACATCAAAGGAAACATTTTGCCATTTATCATAGTAGTAAGGATGCTGTGTATGTGTAAATACTGTCATTGTCTTACAAGAGACCCTGGTATCTGCATATCAGAGATACTGAAAATTTTCTTTGATAGTATTTTTTTTTTTGTTCTCTTGCAAAAACAGGTATGTCTTTGAAATTAAGCAATTATATCCATGGTAAAACTTCATTTACCATGAAACTGAATGAGAATATCAGTACATGTTGTGCTCACATTGTGGTCTGATCAATGGTTGGTTGCCTCATATGAGTTTGAAGTTTTGTGATGAATAATCTTGACACAATAATACTGGTAGATAATCTATATGGTGATTTTATTGCAGACATGGAACACGGTGTGCAGGAGAGATTGCCATGCAAGCGAACAACATAAAATGTGGAGTTGGAGTTGCATACAATTCAAAAGTTGGGGGTAAGCTAAAACTTTATTTTAGTAGAATCCCCTCTCCATCAGAGTCATCTTGGAGGGTGTACTGAACAAAGCATTAGTGATTTGAGGATCTTGGGTAGAGGTACCCATTATTGCAAGCCTTTTACTTATTGCAAAATAATGAGCAGGATCCTGTTGCATAGCTCACTGGTACAACAAGAGTGACATCACAACCAGCAGCACATTACTGCTAATGAAAGAGTTCCTGCTTCAGTTTTGGGTTGTGCATGAATCTTGTGCAATGAAGGAAAGTTACACACAATGGAAAATCAAAGCAGGGACTCTTTCCCTGCAAGTGACATCACTCCCATTGCATTGACAGAGCCATGCATCTGCATTTGGCCAGTGCCCTGCCGAAAGCCAGCCTAGAATTTTTTTGGAAAAGACTATAATGCTGGGAAAAGTTGAAGGCAACAGGCAAAGAGGAAGACCAAATAAGAGATATGTCACAATGGGTGCCCTTTCAGCTTCAGGCTGAAAGATGGATTGATTCAACAAAGAAAGCCACAGCCTTAAGCGCTGTTGACTATAGGATTTTTTGGAGGTCACTATAGATTCCCTGTAAGTCAGAAGTGACTTGGCAGTATGTAACAACATCAACAAGAACAACAATACATATGTGCTTGAGTGAAAGGCATGGAATACACTAGACAGCTTTTTGGTTTGGGTTTTTAAATAGAATGATAGGTGTGTATCTTAAACACCACCTCATAAATAATCTAGCCTGTTGCAGAGGATTTTGAAATATAACCGTTTTAGTACTAAGAGGAAGAACTTGCTACTCTTCTAAAAAAATTAATGAAAATGAGACCCCTGCAAAGAACAACATGCTGAATGCCTTCCCATCTCCACTATGTGGATGATGAGCTATCAGTTTCCCATCAGATCTTATCATCCTACTCCACATCTTTATGGACAACAAAATGAGGCAACTGGTTTTTAAATTAGTGACCATGGGTTGCTACTGAGTATCCTTATCAAAAATACTGGAAAACTGAATCCATGCAGTGCATTTTCAGACCCTTCTAGCATGAAACGTAGGACAAAGCCTTTCTATTTGCATCACAACAAGCCGTGCATTATAATGCTAATGCAGAGAAAACACAAAATAATTTCTGTTTGCCTCTCCCATTCCCCACTTCCCTCCCTCTCTCCCTCTCTCTCATATAAAGGTATACGGATGCTGGATGGAATAGTCACTGATGCCATAGAAGCAAGTTCAATTGGTTTCAGTCCAGATCATGTGGATATTTATAGTGCCAGCTGGGGCCCAAATGATGATGGGAAAACTGTGGAGGGACCGGGCAGATTGGCCCAAAAGGCTTTCGAATATGGCATCAAAAAGGTGAGCAGAGCCACTGTGGAAACCTTTGAAAACTCTTCATTTGTGCCAGAAGACAGAAAAATATGAGTCCTTTCCATTGTCGGGGGGGGGGGGAATGTGTTTTCTGCTTTTTCTGTCGCAAAGCCATTTTACAGAAACCGTCTTAGAAAAAAAAAGACATAACTACTTTAGGGACCAGGGGAAAGAAACCAGCGCAGACCTTTTAGAAGAGGCTCAACACATAGATTACACTAGTTTCAGTTGTTTTTCATGCTGGTTCTTTCTCACACCGTTCTTTCTGATTCAGCTTCCTTCTTTGTCAATTTGTTTGGTTTTGAATGCTAATGAGTTTTCTATGCAAAGCACTCCTATAAAATATTAATGTATTTTTTTTCTGCTTCATAAATATTGCATTTGTCTCTCTTTGCAAGCCAAGATAGGAAGCATTATTTCATAAGCCCAGGCATAATTCAATCTAGTTGTAATTAAGTTGATGGGAACACATGCTGAGCAAAGCACCCTGCAAGTTGGCCTTTTAAATCAAGTGGGCTTTTATTGGCAACTTGAAAAAAAATACATACCCAGCTATGATAGAGACACACAGTACTCTGTTTCTTTGGTTAAAAAAAAAAGCCATGGACAGTTAGTTGCTCAGTTCTTATCTCAGTGATGATCAGATCATTCTTCCTCCAAGGTGGAAGTGGTGAGTGAACACATAACATTCAGAAAGAGAGGAGAGATTTGTAGTTCTTCACATGTTGCTGGACTGCATCTCCTTATCATCCCTCACCACCAGTCATGCACAGTAAGGCTAACAGGAGAAAACGTCTAGCAGCTTCAACTATAAGTACTCCATCACTCTCCTAATGCTAAGAAAAACTAGTGTTTCAAGTCTGCCCTGTGCTTCCTTTTCTCAGTGACTGACATCCCCAGAAAGTTCTTCTCCTCTTTTTCCATTCATTGCCCCTCAGATTTAATCAAGATACATCCCATTTAGTCCTTCCATTCCATTCTCCTCCATATTCTCCAGGCAGATCAGTCACTTGGTAACTGCAAGCAGACAGTTACTGAAAGATCAGGCTCAAGACATTTTGCTCCCTGAGACAGAACAGAAAAACCTTGTTTCATCCCCAACAACAACAACACTTGCCAATATCAAGCCAAGGTGCACAGCACCCAAAGCCAGCTAAGTTATTTTGGCACGAGGCAGAGAAATCTAGATGCTGTAATGAAAACTTTTTGCATCGTCCTCCTAAACTCAAAGGGAAAAAAATGATAAACAAAAGAGGGGGGATAATCAAAAACTCTTCAGTATGTGGTGCTATTGCCCCTTGATCGTGAATTAATTAATTGAAACACACTTTAGTATAACCTTTCCAATCATGATGCCTTCCAGATATGTTGGACTTTCAAGTCCTTCAGTTGGGAACTGTACTCCATTTGGAAGGTGCCGTATTAAAAGAAATATCCTTAGCAACACATGTTGTAGCTGGTGCATCACTAACCAGAACATACTGTTTGCAAGTGGAATCAGGTATTCCCATGTGTATTTATTTCATTTGTACTCCACCTTTCTCCCTGTAGAGGGATTCCAGGCCGCTTGCTAGCAAAGTTGCCTAGATCTTGTGACTGCCTTTGAAACAGAAAGATTATCAAGTGTTCATAGCAATCCTTGGAAGTCAGGATGGACGTGAACCAGCAGTTCCACATCTTGGATCCCCAAATCATGCTGGACAAAAGCTTCCATATTCACTGGCCACTGGCCATTTTGGCAAGGCTTCTGGGAGCCCTATTTGGGAGCCATTAAACAAAACCCTATCAGTGCCCTATCGCCATCTTCGTTCTCCTAAGAAAAGAAGTCTTATTTGGTGGAAAGGTATTGTAGACAACAACTCCCATATTCCCTGACAAGTGATCGCACTGGCTGGGGTCTATGGGATATGAAGTTCATCAATATTTGAGAACTCCCATCTGGAGTTCTTGGCTTGAACACAAGTTCCCTACTACCCTCTTGCTACATCCAAGCCAAGAAAGTCCTGCTTTGGAGAAAAGTGCCTAAGGCGATAGTTCTCATAATCTCTGGCCACTAACCATGCTGTCTGGGAGGGTTGTGGGAGCTGTAGTCCCCCCCCCCAAATTAGAAGGCACTAAGGTGGTCTGTCTCTGTTTTGCCCTGTGACCCGAGGTTTCCAAAGCATATAAACTCCTGAGTATATGACTGAAAATCATAATCTGGAATCATCAACCATTAGATGTTGCTTCCTATGTAAAGCAAACTGGAGAGGATTATTACTTTCAAAGATCTCAACAACAGATATGTCATTAAACTGGGGAAATAACACACAAATAGTCTAAGCTAATTAGGTACAAATTGATAAAAATGGAGACAAATCCACTTCCTTCAAAGGAGAGAACCTCCTTTTGCATTCCAATCTAACAGATTTTAAAAACAATACTCTAATACAGCTAATAGCCAGCTGATACTTTCATTTTGTTTGATTTCTCAATAAAGCAATGAGGACAAATATATAATGAACTGGAGGCAAAAACTGTGGATCAACATAGTCTATGTCACACGTCCAGCAAAAGAGACCGACTGCATTTGAAACGATATTCCAGTGCTTGCTTGGGCCCCACTAAACAGGCTGGATGTGTCTTTTCACAGCAAAAGAAATACATAGTTCCATCAATGTCATGAGATTAGTTGCCTGGAATCAGATTCATATAAGTCCAGAAAAAGCTTATTTTTTAATAAACTGGTCAACTTGCTATTTTGCCCTTTTGCTTCCAAGAAGCAGGAAAGGTGCCTCACTTTAGCTGGCAGCAAAACACTTGTCTAGTTATGAAAGTGATCCATCATTGAGTAGGACATAAAAGCTGTGTGCCTGCTTGGCGGTTTAGACATAGCAGAAGTATGTGTATAATTTGTTTCAAGTTTTAAAAAACATTTCATGTACAATCTCATTTGTCTTCTCAAAAGTAAGACAGGTCAGGATTACTGTCTTCATATTGCAGATGGGCAAGCTGAGGCTGAGAAAACAGTGGCTTGCCTAAGACCACTAGCACAATGGCTTCTATGAGCTATTAAGCCACTAGACTGTGCCAGCTGTTAAGCCACTAGACCTTGCCAGCTAAAGTATTACAAATAGAGACCTGCAGCAAACATAAAAATTTGAATTTGGAATTATAGCCCTTTGTATTCAGAATCTGGAACTTTAAAAATCTGGAATTTCCAGCTATCCGGAACTCTGATACAATCAATATGAATACTCGTCATTATTTACCCCTTTTAAAAAGCACGAACAAGGAGAACATTTTGAAAATATCATCCTGTGTCCTCTGACACCTTCCCAGTGATTGTGCCTAACCAAAAGAGAGCACACCAACATTCAGCAGTTCCTTGGTATTAGGAAACGACTGTCATGAGCATACTGATTGGACCCTGAAGAGTCGGAATGCCAGTGGGAAATGCAGCATTGGGGAAGCAGAGGACAGATTGCACTGAGTGGGCAAATACCCTGGACAGCACAGTGGTCAGTGGGAACAATGCCAGCAGCATGGAGCAGAGGACAGATTGCACTAAGTGGGCAAATACCCTGGAGAGCACTGTGGTCAGTGGGAACAATGCCAGCAGCATGAGGCAACACAGTTGAGTGAGTGAGCCCAATCCCAGAGTAGCCATTGGACAACTGAAAGAGGCAGTAGGATGGGGCAGCACACTGAAGCATTGCAAACCTAGTACTGTGCGTAGAGTGTGCCACTCTCTCATGCTTCAGGGGGACTTCAGGGAAGCCCAGCAATGGTAAGTTGACCTTAAAGAAAAAATAGGTTTTTCAACCAGTCCAGGTTACAGACATGAGTAGGGTGGACTGACAATGTCTCCTGCCTGAGAGAACACTCTTTCACAGGGCATGCTAGTATGTGGGCAAGATAGCAGCCCCACTGCCACCTTGGACAGACCTCTGCCTCATTCCTTCTGCTAGGGTGGTGGTAAGCCTTGTGGCTCCATGGAGTTTCCTGCAGCTGGAGGGGGAGTACCATTCGGCCAAGTAACAGACGACAAGCCCCTAACCTTTCTAGCTAGCCTTGATGAGAATCAAATGTTTTAGGGGCATGCTGAATAATGGGCATGCTGGCTGGAGGATTTGAGTTGGAGTCCTTCAAAAAATATACCTTTGCCAAGCTCTGCTCTCTCACCCTCTTTTCTCTCTTTCCTACCACTTCTTTTTTCCTTTTTCTTTCTTTTCTCATCCTTTTATCTTCCCCTTTTTGTCTTTCCTTTCGCCATCCACCCCCCCTCCTCCTCTTTTTCAGCTTCTTCACTTTTGACTTTGCCTCTGAGTTTCCTTCCTGGAAAAAACCTGCACTTACTTCTGGATGCTGGTAAGGCTTGGAACCAATGGAAGCTCTTTTTCCAAGCCTTACATGTTAACTAGTAGACCATTGAGGTAGACTGCAGTGTGTGGAAAAGGAACAATTAACCTTTCCCTTCTCAGCTAATATCCTACCAAAATATCTTCTCTCTCTCTCTCTCTCTCTCTCTCTCTCTCTCTCCCTCTCTCTCTCTCACACACACACACACGCACACCTCACCACACACACACACACACACACACACAGAGAGAGAGAGAGAGAGAGAGAGAGAGTGTTTTTCCTAAGCCCAACTGACCTCCTGATTGGAGGTGACCAGAACCGAAGTTCACAGGCAAGGTCCAAGACACCACAGGCTGACAGCTTTCCAGTCCTATTTTAGTTGCTGTTTTTCCATTTGTGATCTAGCCTAGCAGACAAGGCTTTACAATGATTGAAAAGTGCCTTTAATAGACCACTAAAATCTCAAGCTTTTGAATCCTGCAAGATTCTTCCTCAGGCTGGACGTTTATAGGACTGGTCAAAGAAGCAGCTGTATTAGTCTGTCTCAGCATGTCGACAAAATTAAAGGAGAAAAAAGGAAAAGGGGGGGAGACAAAATATTGTGACAATTTTAACGAATGTGTTTCAGTGTGAGCTTACTTGGATCAAAATCACTTCTTTAAATGATGTAGTCTTCTCCATGAAAGTTTGCACTGAAACCAATTTGTTAAAACCCCACAATATTTCATCCTTTTTGTTTCTTTTTTCTCCCCCACTGCCAGTATTGCCAGTATCGCAAGCTTTTGAAAACACTACAAAGAGGACATTTTATCCCAGCTTCTATCCAACTATTACAGACATCCAAAAAATAATAATAATGACACATCTTATTTGCACCGTCAACAAGAAGGCACACACTTTTTGCAGGAGTTACTCATTTATTCCTCAAGAACTCTGCAAGCAAATGATGATTACTTTGTTACTACAGTACTGTGTTTCTCCCAATTTATAAGCCATTCGTTTGTAAACTCACCCAAGGAAAAATAACGATGAATCATACTATTCAATGAATAATGAGTATACATTCATTAAAACCTTCAAAATAATTTATTTTTGAGTATATGCCTTTAAATGTGCCTCAGTAGGCGACGTCTGCTAAAACATTAGCATGCTACAGAGAAGTGATCACCATTTTTCATGCTGCTCTGTTCTGTGGTGTTGTGCAGCGGTTTACATTTTGAGAGGTGCCTATATCTCCTCTTCCACTGAGGACTAACAAGGTAGCAGAGGCAACTGGTGCCTGATGTTAATTCCTGGAGAGAGAGGAAGTCTGAAAAAGAGGAACATGCTGTTGATCATTTTTATTATTATTATTATTTCAAATTTTCTCCATGCAGAATACATGCCTGCAGCCCAGCATAGTGTGCTGTAAAAACCTGTGCATTCAAGCTGAATTAAAAACTAGTTCCTAATGTTTAAGCATCCTTTCTGTTTTTCTATATATATAGCTGGATTCTTTGAGATTCAGTCACGCCATCATTTGTATTAACTGCAGTTTGTTCTTCTGAACAACATTGGCTGATGTATCTGACTGAGCAAATTAAGGTAGGCTGAGCAGCAAACAAAATTCACATACACAGAGAGAGAGAGAGCAGTGAAAAGTTGGGCTGGTTGCAGCTATAGTTGCTGATAACTACACTGTTTTCATACAGATACATTTTAATGACAAGTTTTTAAAAGAAATATTCACCCCCATGGTGAAAATGTCTCATACTTATTTATCCTATGTTTTTTATAAATGGCTTTGCATTTGACGCAGTTGACACCTGAATACAGGACCTGGAATGTTAGCTCTTGCATCAGTTAAATGGGCTCTTTATTTAGATACATTTTAATGGCAAGTTTTTAAAAGAAACATTCACCCCCATGGTGAAAATGTCTCATACTTATTTATCCTATGTTTTTTATCGCATTTGATGCAGTTGACACCTGAATACAGGACCTGGAATGTTAGCTCTTGCATCAGTTAAATGGGCTCTTCCGCACCAGCATCTGTCTGACTACAAAAAACAGGTCCTGCATAGAGGGTCTCACTGCTGTCTCTGATGTCACAGAATGTTCTTGCCCATGCTGGTTACTGGCAATAGTTCAGCATTACATTCCAGTTCTTTTTGTTCAGGATGGCGTGTGCAGAGTTTGTTGTTGCGGTTGCTGCTGTATATTTTGTGCTGCTCTGTCTCAGTACTGTAGACAGTAGTTGAATGTAATGGTCTCTACCATGTCTTTGATGGGTATGCCTTTGATCATAGTGCACGGTGTCACCAGTGAGGCATAGCATGGCAGCATCTAACCCTTCTTACTTCTCACCTCTTGTTTGAATATTTGAGGTGGAGGGGAGAGATGGTTGGCAGCTTCTGATCTCTGCCTTTGAGAGGGCAGATTCAATCTCCTTTGGAAATCAGCTGTCTTCAGCATCACCTCTTTGAAAAACTTTGGGGACACCCTATACGAAAATGATTGTTTAGTGATTCTCTGTGCTAGTCCTTCTCTTCTCTTCTGTTCTTTCTTTAATAAATTGAACTGAAAGCTTCCAACCTTGGATGCTCAGCATAGCTGTTTGAGATGAATTAGTGGGACTCATTGTGGAAATATATATATTTTAAAAGTGCTTTGAAATCCATACATTGTTTGATCTCTGACAAATTGGTGCATTTCCTGACTTCCCAATGAAAGTGCATGTGCTTTTGGAGAAGCAGGAGGGGGCAGTTGAGATGGCAGACACAGAGGAAGGATGGACTGGAGATTAAGGCAGAGAAGTAAGCAGAGAGGTGCAGACAGAGATGGGGTGAGGCAGTGTCCTAAGGTAATGCTGCTGTTGGCTCCCCTGTGAGCGGGCAAGATGTCAGAACATCCTAGTATCAAACACATCCTAGGTGTGGATTCTGGAACCAGTATTGAGCCCAAAGTGACATATTGGCGCAAATTATCACACATATAAGGTAGGTTGTGCAAGCCATTTTCACACAGGACACATGACCGAGGTTACAACCAAGTAGCTGACAAGGGTGTTTCAGCATGTGACAGACAGCATATCTGCACACACTGGTGATACAGTTCCAGATTGCACTGCACAAACCCAGTAGGCTTTTGGCCAACCACTTTAACATTAGTGCATTAGTTCTTGTTATTGCCAAGTTCTGCATTAATATATATGGAAATACTTGAGGGATGTTCTGCCTCATGTACCAAAATAAAATGGCTAGCTGTGGGAAAGAGGGCACTATTTTGTCTTCCGTCTTAGACAAAAAGAGATCTCAGATTTTCCCTGTAGAGAATTGTCTCCTTGGACTGACAGCAACTCTTCAAGGCCACATGGCCTTCAGTCTTTCGCTATCTGATTTGTTTTATTGGCAGTGCCTGGTACTATTACGTCCATATTTCCTGCTATTGCAACATTTTCCCTCCAAACATGAAATTCTTTCAACTCTTTGTGCCTGAGCAATCACACTTGCAAGCCAAGTTTACTCCCCAGTGACCAAATCATGAAACAATGGCAAGCCAATTTGCAACATGCAGAGATGAGGCAAACCTGTGTCAGGAGAAACAGATCTCTCTCTCTCTCTCTCTCTCTCTCTCTCTCTCTCTTTCTCTTAAGGAGGTCCCAGTTCGAATGATGGGCCCACTCTGTCTTCTAGTTTGACACCCAGTGAATGGACTGAGCCAGCTATGCACTGGAAATCTTCCTCAGCAATAGGTCCATCCCGGTACCAATAACTCTTCTCTTTTCCGTCCCATAGGGGCGAAAGGGGAAGGGGTCCATTTTTGTCTGGGCTTCTGGGAATGGTGGCCGCCAAGGAGACAACTGTGACTGCGATGGCTACACAGACAGCATTTACACAATCTCCATCAGCAGTGCATCTCAGCAAGGCCTTTCTCCCTGGTATGCAGAGAAGTGCTCTTCAACACTGGCCACAGCATACAGCAGTGGGGATTATACTGACCAGAAAATTGTAGGTTGTTTTTACCAGATTTAACAAGCATTTCTGAGGATGGTGCATAAAACAATGTGGGAAGAGGGAGGGAAGGAAAACACTTAACCAGTGGTTTGTGTTTTTATGTGCCTAATTACTTTACAGTGGAACTGTAGGGAGTGGTTATGTTATTAAAACAGCATTTCCATTGTTTACCCCATTACCCTTGTAGAATTAACCTGTGTAGTGTAGTTTTACCTTCGTGCCAGTTCCTCTCTGGGGGAATAATGTGTTACTTACAGTATATGTGGAAGGAGACTCTCTCAAATTTGATAAAGTGTTGGTCTGAAAGAATGGTATCACTTAGGGAAAAGGTAGTACTAGATCAAAAGAATGGAATTTATTGTCTTCCAGTGCTAAGGGAAAGAATTAGCAAGTTGTGGTTATTTTTCAAAGACCAGCAAACGGTTATTCTATGGAAGTTTTAAATCTTGCAATGCAAACTTCTGTCCTACAATTGTATTTCTAAACAAGAGGTAATATACAATCACAAAAAACATCCGTAAATGATGCCCTGCCCCTACATTTTGGACAACAACTTCCATGGCTACTGGCCAGGTTGCTGGGGGATTGTGGAAGTAGTCATTCAAAAAAAGTAACTCTTTCAAATTCTGCTGAGAAGCTTGAGATCCATGTGTGATTTCCGTGGATAGTGCTGGCATGGGATTCCTGAAGTCAGGTTCACACAAACTATGTGGTGAACTCTTTAAAAACAGCGTGGTATGGCATGCTGTTATAGCAGTGTAGTATAGTAGTGTGGTGTAGCAGTTACAGCACTGGGCTCAGACTTGGGTGATCATTGTTATAGTGTCCATTGAGCCATGAAACACATGAGGTGTTCTTGGGCTGGCAAGTCTGATCTACCTCACTGGGTTGTTGGGAGGATAAACAGGGAGTGGAGAGGAAGAAAGCCACCTATGCCATTGCATTGCATTGCAATGACTACAGGAAAGATGGACTAATCTTGTAACTGTTGAGTAAATAAACAGCGTGGTCACTACTGTTTATGATGTGCAAGAGCTCAGTGTAGATTTCCAAGATATCTTTGCTATGTCACTGCCGTTTCTTTCTTTAGCGATATATAATTATTCTGATAAAGGATGGATCCATGTGTCACACCATCACACTGTCACACTTGTTTGGATGATTCACATGGGGAGGATTTCTAACGGAAGTCACCCATTCTCTGCTCTTGAAAACTCTCCACCTTCCTCCCCAACTTACAAATTAAAACCAGTCTCTGTGTAATTTTCACCTGGGAACAATGTCAGATAAAATGGGTCTCCCCATGTGAGGCCAAAGCTGAAAGCCCCTTCCATTAGCACCGCACCACAACTAAAAACATGAAGATAAACTATATCTGAACACTGAAGGCACATTAGAGCAACATGATTCAGGATGAACTTTGCTACCAAAGAGCACTGCATCGTACTTGGACTTGATGCCTTCTGCTCCCTCCATTTTTCCTATGACCTCCTTGCATTCCGACTCAGTACAGTTGGATAATGGCAGGTGAACTGTGGTTGTTTTTGCTTATTTTCGGTCAACACATTTTGACCAGTGACTTTTCTGAGTTACGAAAATTGACTCCACTGGGACGTCCCATCTGTGAAAAGCCATTGCTTGCATTCATTCCAGGCCAACAGAGGCAGGGGTGCATGAAGTAACCATGGTTTTAGCTCAAGAGACCACAATTCTTGACCTCTGCCATGAACCAGCTCTTACCCTGAGATCACCATCCAAGGCCATCTTTCAAGTAGCTACTCAGAGCAAAACTTCAAGGGTGGTGTGAAATGAGATGGCTTTTTCAATTGTGTCCTGTGGAGTGATCTCCCCAGTGAGGCCTGCCTAGCCATGACATTAGCCTCTTTTTTGACATCTATTTAAGATGATTCTCAACTCCCAGGTATTTGGTGAGATGTGGCTGGCCCACTTTTAAATGCTGACCTTAGGCAAATTGATTATCCGTATCATTTGAACTTGTGGAGAGATGGTGCTTTATGCTATACATTGTGTGTGTGTGTGTGTGTGTGTGTGTGTGTGTGTGTGTGTGTGTGTGTGTGTGTGTGTGTGTGTGTGTGTGTGTGTGTGTGTGTGTGTGTGTGTGTGTGTGTGTGTGTGTGTG